CCACTGGCTCTAACAACTGAGACATCTCTCCAGCCCCAACAAGATCTTAAGATCCTATCTCAGAAAGAAAACAAAAACAAAAACAAAAAAAACTGCCAAGCAGAAAGAAGAAAGTAAATGACTGAAAGATTCAGGTGGCTAAACTATGTAACACAACTAGTGTGTAAGTACAAGTTAAGTACTTTCACTTAACATTTTGCATGCCTGTTGATTGATTTACCTATCAACTTCATGTACCAAAAGAGAAAAAATAAACACACACAGAGCAGAATCTTCCCACGAGGAATATAATTCACAAACAAAAATTAATCTTTTCTTGAAAAAAATTAAGTTCATAGCTTAAAATTATCATAAAAACAAATAAAAGAAATTCAGACGATTGAGCATTTATGCACTTACTACATAGTAAATCGAAGTTAATAGAATAAATAGTCACTATCATAGATGGGATAAACATCAATGGGGACCTAACCTAAGTACTACATTTAGCAGAAGCAAAATATGTTTGAAACCAAGTATTTTACCAACAGCTTACTTCCTTTAAATTCATTCCATTAACACTCGTTTTATTTTGTCTTTTTCTTTCGGGGGGTGGGGGTGTGAGACAGAATTTCTCTGTGTATAGCCTTGGCTATCCTGGAATTCACCCTGTAGTCTACGCTGGTCTCAAACTCTGCCTGTGCCTCCCAAATCCTGAAATTAAAGGCGTGCACCAGTACCGCCAAGCTAACTACTTTACCAATCCTGTCTTGAATTGAGTGAGACCTACTTTAGAAAACGAAGGAAATGACACCTTGAGTTACAGGGGAATAGCCCAGAGGTCATAAAAGCATTTGAACTTCTTGATAAGCAACTGCTTATTCACTTAAATCGCTCAGCAACGTGCTAAGAAATGGGATCCACATCCAAATTATCAGAAGAAAACTATCACTCCTAAGAGGCAATTTAGGGGAGTGGTGAAGCAGAGGCGACTTGTCATTCTCTCCCATTATGGTCGCATCGATCCCGCCCACCGGCTTCCCAGCTCTCAGGGACTTAAACACACAGCGGCCGCGTCCCTGGAGCAGACAGAAGCTCCTGTTACCTCTGCTGGGAGGACCCCATCCCGGGAGCACTACCCGCTCGGCCGGGCTCCGTCTCCGTGAGACCGAGCGAGTTAGAGTGGCAGTCTTTTAGCTCAGAGTCCCGTGGGGACCAGGGGATGGTGACATCCCCCGGGATCTCCCCTCAGAGAACTGACAGCATTCGGGGGATTCGGGCTCCCCCGGTTCTCCGCGTCACGCCGCGTCGGACCCGGTCCTCTCACACCGCGGAGCGCCCTCCGCCGCGCCAGGATCGAGAGCCCGGTAGGGATCCCGCCGAAGGAGAAGGGCGGGCCGGCGGGAGCCCCACAGCCGGAAGGGGCTTGCCTCACAAGCTGGACGGCCTCCGGCCCGGCTCACCTTCAGGTCGTTCTCGGGAAGGTACTTGCACTGCCGCGCTATCTCCACATATTTGTCCAGATCCAGCGGCGCCATTTTAGGAAAAACTAGCCGGGGCGACGCCAGCGTCGGAGGCCGAAGCCGGAACTGCCCTTACGTCACGTCCGACCCGTGAGTGGCGTCTGCGTAGTGACGTCAGAGCCCCGACACGCCCCGCGTCCCCTCGTGCGGAACTCCAGGACCCGGGTCTCTAAGATGACCCGCCGGTCATGTAGATGAAACCTGCTAGGACCTGTAGCTGTCTGCCGCGGGGAGTGCTGGGATATGTAGTTTTAGTGAAACGCTCTTCCTATCCTACTCTTGCAACAGACTTCACCTTCGGAAAACCAGATGAAGCTTTTTCTAGGGAAGATCACGAAGTGGGTACCTGAGAATTCCCTAGCTCTCTCCTACCCTGTCAGTATCTTCAAAGTTAGGGTTACTGTTACCGTCTTTCCAGGGCTAGTGAGGACCTGGCCTAGACAGTTTAAACAGATTAAACGCTCCCAATTCTCCGGCTTGGAAGAAAAGAAACAAACATTAAAGATAATTTGTACAAACACTGGAGCTTTTTTTCTGTTCAATTCTCGAAAGACTGACAGAAATGCAAAACTTACACGTGTTACTTGTCCCAAATTTTAAAGGAAACAGAAAAACTGGAGCCTAGACTAGAAAACAGGCTATGCCCAGTGAGCGCCATAGACAAAAATCTATCCTTGAAGCTGGAGTTCAGTATTTAGGAGCACTTCCAGAGGACCCAAGTTCCAACACCCCACATAGCTGCTCACAAGGCCTATAAATCCAGTTCCAAAAGATCCAACAGTGCCGTCTTCTGGGCACTGTGTGTAGTGCAGAAATTTACTTGAGGGCAAAACAAAAAATTTAACAATTATAAATTAGTGTATAGGAGCTGGAGAGATGGATGGCTCAGCGGTTAAGAGCACTAAAGCACTGTCTGCTCTTCCAGAGATCTAGGTTCAATTTCCGAAAACCACGTGGTGGCTTACAACCATCTCTAAAGGGATCTGATGCTCACCTCTGGTGTATCTGAAGAGAGCAACAGTGTACTCATATACATACGTATTAAATAAATCTCTTTAAAACGTTTTTTAAAAGTAGAATTAACCAATCAGCTGGCCGTAGTAGACCACATATTTGACCCCAGCACTGGTGAGGCAGGTGGATAGCTGAGTTTTAAGATAGCCTGGTCTAAAACAAAGTTGGAAAGGTAGAAAGATATCTAATGAAGCATATCTAGATCTTTTGAAGAAGAGCCATAGAAAAGTGGCTGGAGATAAGAAAAAAGAAAAATACAGGCTGGAGAGATGGCTCATTGGTTAAGAACACTGGCTGCTTGCTCTTCCAGAGGTCCTGAGTTCAATTCCCAGCAACCACATGGTGGCTCACAACCATCTGTAATGGGATCTGATGCCCTCTTCTGATGTGTCTGGAGACAGCTGCAGTGTACTCATAAATGAAATAAACACATTTTTTTTAAAGAAATACATCAATTTTTATTTTCTTTCTTTTTCTTGGTTGGTTTTTTTTTTTTTTTTTTTTTTTTTGTTGTTGTATTTCAAGACAGGGTTTCTCTGTGTAGCCCTGGCTGTCCTGGAACTCACTCTGTAGACCAGGCTGGCCTCGAACTCAGAAATCCACCTGCCTCTGCCTCCCAAGTGCTGGGATTAAAGGTGTGTGCCACCACCGCCAGGCCAATTTTTCTTTTGATATAATGGGTAACTATTGTTAAGATTTTAAACAGAGATGCAAAATGGTCAAACTTATTTGACTTTTTAAATTTTTTGCTTTGGTTGGTGGGTTTGTTTGAGTCATTGTTTTAGCCCCTTGACTCCCATTTTTAAAAACAGAATTTAAACATCCCTCCAAGAACTCAGAGATGTGATTTCTAGTCTAAAAGGATTGGTTTCTATACGGTAAACCATCTGATATTCCACTTTTTCTTCTTAATATGTACCTCCAGCATGGCTTCTCAAGGTATCCAAAAGACCCAGAGCACATCAAAGCGTTCTGGAGCTTTACTTCAAGAAGTAATCACTGTCCAAATACATATTGGGCACATGGCAGAGCCGACCTGGTCCTGCCTCTCTCCAGAAGGAAAGCAGAGTGAGTGTATACCTCTAAATTCTTTAGCAGTCAGTAGGAACTTTCTGATAATTCCAGGCAGTCACAAAGACTCAGGTGTTGGAAATATAATGACAAAGAAGTGAACAGAGCTGCAGCCCCCCCCAAGTCCACTTTGTCCATGAATTTTGGTTACATTGTCAAGTAGATAAATAAATTAGAGCGAGGGCATTGTAACTCCTTTCTGTAAATCACAGAACGTGTATGGTGCAGGCAGCAGAATCAGGAATTCAAGGCTATCCTCAGCTATACAGTGAGTTGGAGACAAGCCTGGACTACATGAGACCTAGTCTCAAAATTAAAATCCAAGTTTTTCTTTTATTTGCACTAGTAAATTGTCTCTCTAGCTGTGTTCCAATATTGCTATTCCCATTCTATACGTGATTAGACTAGGGTTCAGAGCTTGTTGGAAGCCGAGTTTGTCTTCCTTCTCCCACTAAAGGTACACTACCTCTGCTGTTTCTAGTCTGTCTTGAGTTCGGAGGGACGTTAGTGAGCTCAGAGTATGGTACTTTGATCACACATAGGCACATAGGTGAGCCATCTTTGTTTTAGGAAAGTCACGGGGCACCTATAGCTAGGACATAGATCAGAGAGAGTGCAGGTGAAGTTGCCAGCAGAGGTTTATAGATAAACATAATCACGGCTTTTACAGAGGACCAGCTCTGGGCCTCCATAAATACCCGACCACAACACCTACGGAAATCTTAAGATTTCTGTGTCGCTGAGAGAACATATTGTGTCAATGAACTTTTTAATTCTTCAGCCTTTACGATAGGACCTCCTAGTTGTTCAGGTTTAATCTCTCTGCTCAGCGTGTGAGCTCCCGGAAGGCCAAAGGCCTGTAATCTGGAACGTGCTGTAACCACAAACGGCAATTATGGAAATGACCCGCTTTGGGCGTCACAGCTTGAACCAACCTCAAACCTGCACAGGGAAAACCTAGCATCCTGAGGCATGCAGGTAACCTCACTCGGGAGGCTGGAGCAGAATTCAAGGTCAGCCCGGCTTACATGAGTTCCAGCCCATCTTTCCCCTTCAGAAGTCACTACTAAGGACTGCTGACGGGCAGTGGTGGCGCATGCCTTTAATCCCAACACTAGGGAGGCAGAGGCAGGCGGATTTCTGAGTTCGAGGCCAGCCTGATCTACAGAGTGAGTTTCAGGACAGCCAGGGCTTCACAGAGAAACTCTTGTCTCGAAAAACCAAGCTGAACAAGGAATTAGAGTTAACGATCGGATGCCGAACTAGCAGAGTTCTAGGTCGCCTGATTAGTTTGGCGCGTAGTCGGGGAGACCCGGAGGCGTAGAGCGGTTGGGCTGGACGTGCTTCCGGGACCTGGGGTGGGGGTAGAGGTGGGGGTGGGGGACGAGCTCCTAAGCTCCGCCCCATGGGTGGAGCCACGTCCAGGACAAGCCGGGGGTACGGCAGGTAATTGGTGCTGGGCTGGAGGTCTCTGGGACCCCGCCATCTGGAGGAGGGCGGACTCCCTATAGGCAGTGGGCTTGGGCTAGGTGGGAGGGGTAGTATCCATGGTCTCCGGCCGGTCAGGTTACGGGAAGGCAGGCAGCCATTTCTCCCTGACCCTGACTTCTTTCGCGTGAAGATGGGGCTGGCAGAGGGGATGCAAAAGAGGTGGCTAGGAGAGTCCCGGCCAAGCCGACCCCTCTAAGCTCTGTCTGACCCTGTGCTCATTAACCTAGCCCGCTCGTGGGCTTCATCGGCCCAACTCTTAATTCCTTTCTCATTCGTTTGTCCTTCACTTCTACTCTGCAGGTCCATTGGTAAGTTATCAGAATGAATCAGAAGGTGGGACATGCTAAGCTTTTTGGAATCTAGTCTAGATACTTTTCTGTTACTTTTATTTTGAGACAAGTCTCACTATGTAGCTCAGGCTGGCCTCCGTGGCCTCAGGCCTCCCAAGTGCCAGGTAGTGTGCACCACCGTGCTGGCCGACTACAGACTTTTGAACAGATAATTTCATTCAGGGATCTGAGGGTGTAGTTCAACTGGCAGACTGCCTGCCTATCGAGAGCTTAGCCCTGGGTGTGATCTCCAGTAAGGCATAAAAAGGTATGGTGATATTTGCTTGTAATCCCAGCTTTTGGGAGGTGGAGGCAAGAGGAACAGAAGTTCAAGGTCGTCCTTGGCTATATAATGAGTGGAAGCTAGCCTAGGGTACATGAGAGGTTGTCTCTAAATAAGTAATGAGTTTAAAAGAAAAGATAATTACATTTAGAATGACTCCTGTAATATGGAGGTTAAATAGATACTGTCGTATAGGGGGACTAAGGCCAAGTCCTTCTGATTAATCCTTCTTGCCAACTGGTGTGTGGTGTGTGTGTGTGTGTGTGTGTGTGTGTGTGTGTGTATATTGCTAATCTCTGAATCAGGAACAGTAACTTGAGAGACTGGAAAGGGATGGTCTCTTTAAATAACCTTTGAAATCTGCTTTATTTTTTTCTTTTTCTGGAAATTGAACCCAGGGCCTTGTCTATGCTAAACAGGTGCTCTACCACAGAGCCATGCCAACTCCTTGAAACTGGCTTTAAATATCCACTAACAGTGTGCAAGTTTGCAGGAAGGAAAGACAGGGAGGCAGTAATTGCCACAGAACACTTGTTAATTTTATTAAATTCCCACTGGTTGAAGGCAGTCCAAGTTATGAAAGTCAGAAGAACAACAAAAACCTCAGTATTGCAATCGAGGCCCCAAAAAGACACAGAGTGAGACCCTGTCTGAAAATAACAGCAAAAAGATGTAGACCAGAAAGCTTGGTTTCTATGGCATGCTAGGACCAAGATGGGGCAAGGCAAGGTTAGCCCTAGCTGTCCTGGAACTCACTGTGCAGACTAGGCAGGCATTGAAATCACAGAGATCATGTGCCTCTGCCACACCAGTGCTGGGATTAAAGGCGTGTGCCACCACCGCCTGGCAAAGGTTAAATCTAATTTTTAAGTTAGCTAGTAAAACGTGTCTCATACCTTTTTTTTTTTTTTTTTTTTTGGTTTTTCGAGACAGGGTTTCTCTGTGTAGCCCTGGCTGTCCTGGAACTCACTCTGTAGACCAGGCTGGCCTCAAACTCAGAGATCCACCTGCCTCTGCCTCCTGGGTGCTGGGACCAAAGTTGTGCGTCACTGCCACCTGGCTGACCTGTTTTATCTTTAATAAAAATCTTAAGGCCTCTGACATTTTGGTATCTGTTCATTCCTTATGAGACTTGCAGACAGAAGGAAAACATTAGCTGAGAAACTTAAGTAGCTATGTTGTGTCAACAGCTGGAATGTAACTCAACACAGACACTTACCTACCATGCATAAAGCCCTGAATATATAACATACCCTATCACTGGGGGACAACAGCTGGATATGGTGGCTGCAATCCCAGTACTAAGGAGAATGAAGCAGGAAAATTGCCCAGAGTTGGAAGTCAGCCTGGGCTGCTAGGAAGCTTGTTTCTGAACAAGAAAGGATTATCTCCGAAGTGTGGTAGTGTTGATTCGGATTTGTCAGGTCTTTGAACTTCATATATTCAACCTCAGAGATTTTGTTTTTGTTTTTGTTTTTTTTTTTCCCGGTTTTGGGGCTACAACCTTGGGTCTTTCTCATCCTGGGCCAATGCTCAACCACTGAGCTCCTCCACAATCCAATAGGAGAGGTTTGAGAGGGGTGTGGTTGGAGTTGTTGTGTTGTGGGAAGATGCCTGAACACTACCTTCCTCTCTTCTGCATAGGGCATCATGAAGCAGCTGCCCAGCTTGGAGCCTGGAGACAAGCCCAGGAAAGCTACATGGTCTGTAAGGAAGGATTCAGACACATATAAGAACTTGAGTTTTTGTTTCATCTATAGGTAGTTTACTAACACATCTGATCATCACTGCAAAGGGGCAGTAATAAAACTGTGGTAATTAGATTCAAACAGTCTGGGAAGATTTTCAGAGGGGTCAATAATTATCAAAGAGCAGCTGTTAATTTTATTAAAATCTGTTTACCAGGACAAATAAAGCACTGGCTATCTGGCATCCTCAGCTCCAACCCTTAGGTCCTCCCCTGAGCTGAGACTTTAGGGAATTTGGATTACACTGGGTCCAGTGTTTGTTGGCTGTTTGTTAAACCCTTCATTCAGCAACTCACAGTGGCTAACAGTGATGACGCTGTAAAAGCCCTGAAGCCCTAAGGCAGAAGCAGAGCAAGTGATGGAGTGTGACCTGCACTGGGGGGACCCCAGCAGGGTGGAAGAGGCCCATAGGACTCCAGCTGAGGTCTGTGCCCACTTCCACGATCTATCTTGCTTCACAGCCATCACAGATGTGCAGGAGACATGCTCTAGGGTAAAGCCCTCTAGAGAACTGTCTATGTAGCTTGGCTATAGAGCTCTGGTTAACATGTATAATATCCCTAGTTCTGCCCCTCACACTAAGCATGATAAAGCAGGCGCCTTGAACAAGGCCTTGCACACTCTGTGTGTACCTGCCCATCCAGCCTCCATTGGCTTTATTTATTTATTTTGCTGTTTGTTTTGTTGTTGAAACAGATTCTCATGTAGCCCAGGTTGGCCCCTAACTTTGAGCAATCCTCGTTTTCTAGCCTCCCGAGTGCTGGGATTACAGGCATGACCACTAAGATTAGCCTTGTTTTGCTTTGAGATAGGCTGTCTAGTATTCAGGTAGTAAAATTGTTTAAAATCCAAGGCTAGCCTAGACAATGGAGTAAGATGCTCTCTGGAAAAAAATAAAAGACAAAAAGAACTTTTACGTTAAAACTTTTTTTTGATTGTGAAAACAATGAAGAGCAACTATTCATGAACCCTTCAAACGGTACACAAATCCACACACAGAACACTGGACCAGGACGAGAGATCCTGGAATCACTGAAAATGATGGAGATGGGTGTCCATAGAAACCACCAGGACAGATGAATCAGAAGAGCAAATAGGCTGAGGGAAAGGGATTCCTAGGATACTGACGGTTCCGAGGGGGCTGGTGGGAGACGGATCAGAGAGGAAAGGAAACAGCTGTCAGCAGGTGAGTACACACTTGGAGGAAGGGGTGCAGAGAATCCAGGTTCTGGAAAAGGGGCTAGAAAGTAGGAGGGGTCAGGAGTGCCAACATTGGAGAGGTCAAGAAAGACAGGACCTGGAGTCAGGAAATGTTTGTATTCACTGTGTGTCCTAGCACACTCCTATAGTCCCACACTTGGGAGGTAGGGTCAGAAATATCAGGGATTTAAGGTCATCCTGGGCTACCTGGAAATCCAAGGCCAGCCTAGGCTGTATGAGACCCTGTCAGACACTAAATTTTTATTTGTTTCAAACCAGAAAGCTTAAAATACATTTATCCCTGTTAACCATCAAAATAAATGTAGCAGCGAATGTCCTGATCCTGTATTGCAGCCTGTGATTCCTAGATGTAGGATGTAGGTTCCATTAGGTTGAGGTTTCCAAGTCTGGAAAAATCTTTTAGTGGTTTTGTTTTGGTTGTTTTTTTTTTTTTTTTTTTTTTTTTAACAATTGTGAGGGCCGGGCAGTGGTGGCGCACGCCTTTAATCCCAGCACTTGGGAGGCAGAGGCAGGTGGATTTCTGAGTTCGAGGCCAGCCTGGTCTACAGAGTGAGTTCCAGGACAGCCAGGGCTGCACAGAGAAACCCTGTCTCAAAAAACCAAACCAAACAAAACAAAAAAACCAAAAACAATTGTGAGCCTTAATCCATGTATTCTGGAGAGTTTTCTCCACGAGGAGAGGAGACAGAATTGACTACTGTTGGCCAGGGCCTTGGCACCACAGGTGTCCCTGTGAGTTTGATAATGCCCTAGCCACTATTTACTTAGCTCCCTGCACCCTCACAGGCTCCACCTTTGAAGATGAGAACTATGGCAACCCTTGATATATAGTAGAGAAAACTGAGGTTCGGGAAGGTGAAGTGACTCCCCAAATGTCTCACATCTAGAAAGCACTGAACTTCACACTTGAACCAGGTCTGTCTGAACCCACAGACCATGATCATAACACCCTGGTGTTGCCAAGGCAACACCAGTGGACATCTCTGCATGTCACCTCCCCTGTCTACCACAGAACCTGTTAAAAGTAAGTTAAAAGTCCAGAGAACATTGAAAAGCCAGCCCTGAGCAAAGACAAGGTACTGTGTATGGCGCTTTGCTGCATACAACTCAGAAAGCAGGCCAGAGTCAGTGAGATAGCACAGCAGGTCAAGGCACTTGCCTAGCAAGCCTGGTTTCAATCTCTGGAACCCAGAGGAAGGTGGAGAAAGAGAACCAATTTTATAGTTTTCCTCTGAGCTTCACACATGCGTACAGAACACACATACCACACACATGGTCCCATACAATAGTAATAATTAAATCTTAAAACATGAGTATGTGTGCAAGACTTTTCACCCTGGCGACTGCTCTGTGAGGAAATGGGAGAATATTCTCACACAGGCCTCCTGAACATGTCTTCCCTTTGGCAGGTACACTTTGACTTGCCCTGGAGACAGGCCCTGCCCTCGAGTTGGCCACAGCTGCTCATATTTGCCTCCAGTTGGGGAGGCTGAGAGAGGGAAGATCTTCATTGTTGGGGGAGCAAATCCAAACCAAAGCTTCTCAGATGTACACACCATGGACTTGGGTAAGATCTATGCTGCAGAACATTCCTGACAACACCAGCTCTGCTGGGTGTAATGGTGCACATCTTCTGAATTCTAGCACTGGGGAAGCAGAGGGATGACAGCCCCTGGGAGGTTGAAGCCAACTTGGTTTATATAACAAGTTCCAGACCAGGAAAACATAGACCCTGAAAGTAATAATAACACAACAACAATATAGACCCTGAACCATCATAATAATAATAAGAAGAAGAAGAAGAAGAAAGAGAAGGAGAAAAAAATAATGTCTTAGTGTTTGGGTTTTATTGCTGTGACCAAGGCAATTCTTGGTTCAGCATTTCAGTCCATAATCATCAAGGCAGGAAGCACAGCAGTATCCAGGCAGGCGTGGCACTGGGAGAGCTGAGAGTTCTACACCTTCATCCAAAGGAAGTTAGGCAGACTATCCTCAGGCAGCTAGGAGAAGGGTCTCAAAGCCCAGCCCCACAGTGACACACTTCCTCCAACAAGGCCACACCTCCTAATAATGCCACTCCTGGTCAAGCATATTCAAGCCACCACTAGTGATAATCAAACCAACTCAGACCAGACAACAGAGTTTTCCTCTTAAAGAGAAGAACAATGGTCTCAGCTGACCTTTAGTGCTTGTCCAGTACATCCTTGTTTGGAGAAGAGTCTGTGTCTTAGGGTTTCCATTGCTGTGAAGAGACACAGTTACCACAGCAACTCTTATAAAAGCAAACATTTAATTGGGGCTGACTTAACAGTTTCAGAGTTTAGTCTGTTTTCATGACACGAAGCATCCAAGTAGACATGGTGCGAGAGGAGCTGAGAATTCTACATCTTGATCGGAAGGCAGCCAGGAAGGGACTCTTCCACATTGAGTGGAGCTTGAGCACTAGGAGCCCTCAAAGCCCACTTACACAGTGACACACTTCCTCCAACAGGTCCACACCTCCTAATAGTGCCATTCGCCATGGGCCAAGCCTATTCAAACCACCACAGTCTGTTCTGAGCCCTGACAATTGGTTATATATTAACTGTTAAAGGCATCATTTCTCCTGTCCACATTCTAATAAATCAAGTCCTGGCTTTATCTGTCTCCCACTGTGTTTGTCCCTTTTCACTCCCTCCACAGTTCCCACCAATGCTGTCTTTCCGCTAGCCCTGGAATCATCCTCACTCTAGACTCCATCCCTCCACGTTGGCTCACTACACCATGCATGCCCCATACCTATGCAGAAAGTGTTGCTCTTCAGTTTGGACAAGGGTGGTTTTTTGTTTTGAAGCAGTCTCACGTGGCTCAGGCTGGACTTGAACTTCCTGTGAGGCTGACAGCATGACCTTGAACTTCTGATTCCCTTGCCTTTACCTTCCAAGTGTGTATCTGAGCCCCTTCACCTGGTCTGTAGGATGCTGCTGGCCTACATGTATGTGAGCCCAGTGCTCTACCAGCTGAGTTACGCCCGTATACACTCAGTCCCTCCAAGCCATTGCTCATGTTGTTCCCAGTGCATGAGAAGCTCCTCTCCTTCCTTGTCATCTCTCTGTGGGAAGGTTGCTCTCCAGCCCTAGACTGGTTTGGATGCTATATCCCTCCATATCCATAGCGTCATATACTCTCCCATTTCCTCCTCCCAAGATCTTAGTGCATGTGACTATTCCCTGTGTTTCCACAAGAGTTTAAGAGTCTTGGAGACAGAATGAGGCAGTTTTACTCATAATTGTATCCCCAGCCATGGCTAGAGCATATAGCCAGAACAGGAACTTTGTATTTAGATGGATGAATGAATGAATGAATGAATGAATGAACGAACGAACAAACGAGCAGAGCTATGAACAAATTATTATGATGTGCTATACTGCTATACAAAAGGCAGAAGTTGAAAATCAGTGACCACGTGAAAGTTTGGCCATGTAACATTTCTGTTATACCATATGTATGTAAATATATATTTATAGATATATAGAAACATTTATATATTAATAATATATAACAATAATTTTTGGAGGTCTGACACCAATACTCCTGCATGGTAACATGACAGTCATTTAGACCTGCAGTGTCACCTCCTGATGAGGTTCCCACCCAGAGTCACCACAGTCTCTTGTTTATACTGTCCAGACACTTGAATCTCTATTCCCAGCAGGAGGCAAAGATACCTTGACTCTTTCAGATATCAAGGAGCTTACTTTCTTGCTCAGTTATATCATGTCTGTCTGTCTGTCTGTCTGTCTGCCTGCCTGCCTGCCTGTCTGTCTGTGACAGCATATTCCTATGCAGTCCGTTCTAGCCTAGAGTTCTCTGTGTAACCCAGACTGGCTTCACACTCAGTCCTTCTGCCTCCACTTTCCACGTCCTGGGATCCTGGACTTGTGCCACCATCCCAGCTTCAATGACATCGTTATTGCAAGTTATCAAGTGCCACAGTGACCTTAGCAAGGCCATATGGACCACAGTATCCTATTAAATAGAGGTACTAACCAGCTTCATTTGCAGTTGTGATTAGCTAACAGTGTGATGCCTTAAGGTCCTACCTTCGTGACTTGCTAACTAAAAGAATTAGTTGGTTTTGGCATTGTTTCTCTATTTGCCCAGAGATTAGTTGAGAGAGGGAGAGGGAGGAGGGGAGGGAAGACAGATTTTATAGAGTTCAGGGGTGTTCTGTAGAATCTAAGGACAAAAAATAATAGCCCAGGCTGATGAGAGTGGAAACCGGATCCAAGTGGCCCATGTCAGCCAAGCCCCATTAGTTAGAAGTAGAAAGTTAGTATCTGACATATGTCACTGGACTCTACAGGGAAGAAGAGAGACAGTTTCCATGGAAGAGGTTCACAGACCAGGTAGATAGCCTGCAAGCGTGCACTAGAGAACACATCAGTGTTTGATAGCACTCCCCTTATGGTTGGCCGCTTATGATTTTGTCCTTGTTTCCACTGCCCTGGTAATCCAACCAGAATTACCAGCTGACAGCCCCAGTCCAAGGACTGAGTAAATGTTTTCTAGGAACACACCAGTGGGACACGGCCACCAGAGAGGGCCTCCTGCCTCGGTATGAGCATGCCAGCTTCCTTCCCACCTGCTCTCCTCACAGCATCTGGGTGTTTGGAGGTGCAGACCAGTCAGGAAATCGAAATTGTCTACAAGTCATGACTCCTGGTGAGTAGACACAGGTTATTTTCCCTTTATCATTGTGATGGTTTGTACATGCTTGGCCCAGGGAGTGGCACTATTAGTAGGTGTGGCCCTGTTGGAGTAGGTGTGTCACTGTGGGGGTGGCCTTTAAGACCCTTGTCCTAGCTGCCTGGAGGCCAGTCTTCTCCTAGCCGACTTAAGATGAAGATATAGAACTCTCAGCTTCTGCTCCATGCCTGGCTGGATGCTGCCATGCTCCTGCTTTGATAATGGACTGAACCTCTAAACCTATAAGCCAGCCCCAACTAAATGTTGTCCTAAGAGTTGCTTTGGTCATGGTGTCTGTTCATAGCAATAAAACCCTAAAACACTATGAATGCATTTATGTATGTTACAGTACATTGAATCACCATTGCCCTAATTAACCTATTTTACTTTGCTATCCTCATAGAAATAGGAATTTATGGATTGTTTGTTTGTTTGTTTGTGTGCTTGTGTGTGCATGAGAGAGAGAGAGATCATATACATTCTGTAGTGTCCACGTAGAAGCCAGAGGACACTTGTGGAAATCAATTCTCTCCTTTTTCCACGTGGAGCCGAGTGATCAAACTCATCTGGGTAGCTCAGGACTCGTGACCTGCTTTCCGGTGATGAAATTATAGGAGTGTTTCATGTCAGACAGGACTGAATTATCTTTTGTGTCAAGCAGTAAATTTCTTTGTTGTATTTGAAAAATGTCTTCTTAGATAGTCATTTGATTGGTTCGAGTGTTTGTAATCCACCATGCCCTCCCTGTCTGTAATATAAATGCTTTTTTAAAAACCACACTTTAGCTCTTACTTTCTTACTCTCTTGCCTCTAGCTTCTCTCTGTCCCCTTGCCCTTCCCCCCTTCCATTCCCCCTCTCTCCACGTGGTCATGGCCGGCCTCCACTTCTCTCCTCTCTCCTCTTTCTCCACCATCTTCTCCCGTTTCTCTCCCCACCTTTGCCCTCTGTCCTGAATAAACCCCCTCCCCTTTGGAAAAAAAAACACACTTTGTTTTTTTATTGTATGTATATGAATGTTTTGCCTGCATGTATGTCTGTGTCACAGTTACATGCAGAGCCCAAGGATGCAAGAAGAGAGAATCAGATCCCCTCAGAACTGGAGTTACATACAATTGTGAGCCACCTTGTAGGTGCTGGGAACAAAGCCTTTGGATGAGCAGCCAGTGTTCTTAACTGCTGTATCATCTCTCCGTCTCTAGCTTTTCTCCCCTGCCCCCCTCTGGGGTTTTTTGAGACAGGGTTTCACTATGTAGCCCTAGCTGTCCCAGAGCTCACTCTGTAGACTAGGCTGGCCTCGAACTCACAGAGATCCACCTGCCTCTGCCTCCCGAGTCCTGGGATTAAAAACATGCGCCACCACTGCTCTCTTTCCTTTCCTTTCTTTCTTTCTTTCTTTCTTTCTTTCTTTCTTTCTTTCTTTCTTTCTTTCCTTCCTTCCTTCCTTCCTTCCTTCCTTCTTTCTTTCTTTCTTTTTTTTTTTTGTATGTTTGTTTTGAGACTGAGTCTTACTATGTAGGCCTGGCAAGCTGGCTTGGAACTCTTTGTGTAGATCAGGCTGGCCTCAAACTCTCAGAGCTCCACTTGCCTCTGCTTCCGAGTGCTGGAATTAAAAGCATGCATCACCCCTGCGGCTGGGATGTAAATGCTTTGAGGATAAGGTTTTGTTCCTTGTTTACAGAGGCCGGAGTACAATCAGATAGGAAGTAGACACTGTCCTGGCCTGTGCTGAAGCCATTTTGTCTGGAACCTTCATAGAGTCTGATCATCATGCTGGGTCTGGTAGTATAGGCCTAATGTCCTAGTTACTTGGGAGGCTGAGGCAGAAAGACCACAAGTTCATAGCCATTTTGGGCTAGCGTGTGAGGGTTGACAGTTTGAATCAGGCCAGTAGAGTGCTTGCCTGGTGGGTAGGAATCTCTTGGTTTGATTCCCAGAACTTGGGGGAGAAATAGTTCACGTCCGAGTCTGTGCTGTGCTGTACACTATCCATGAGCTTGAGCCAAGCCTCTCAATGCCTCGGTTTTCTTTCCTGCCACATTGGGACATCAGTCCCTCCCTTGTGACCTTGTGAAGGATTTCAGTTAGGAGCTAACACTCACTCTCTGGTATTGATCCAGACAGAATTTGGAAAGCAGAAATCAGGAAGTCCACCTTTAAAGAGGTGGCATGGTGGGTGTGGGGAATGTTGGGAGACCTGGGGAAGGGTTCCTCACTCTACCGCCCAGGGCTAGCCTGGAACCAAGATCCTCCTGTCTCAGCTTCCTAAATGCTGAGATGACCAGTGTGTGTGGGACCCTGTCCTTTGGCTCTGGGGTGGGGGGGAGGGGTGACATTTGTTTTAAAACAGAACCAAACAAAAATTCACAGTGGTGCACGCCTGTGATCCCAGCATTCTGAAGGCAGAGGCAGGTAGAGCTCTATGAGTTTGAAGCTAGCCTGGCCAGACAGGGCTGTGTAGTGAAACCCTATCTCAATACAAAACAACAGAAACAGACCAGCGAAGCCCAGGAAAGCTTCTGTCAGAGAAGCTAATTGTCTTCACTTTTCATTTGTTTTGTTTCACTAACAGTCTTGATAGAGAGTCAAGGCTCTTAGTTTCGATGCCTCATTCCACACTTACAAGTCTTGAGCCACCAGATCCCGTTTGACTTTCGGTTCCTGGGCTCCAAGCCCTGTCCGAGATCTGCAGCTCTAGAGAGATTTCCTTTTGCTTTGATGTAGTCTGAGGCCCATTCCGTACGCACGTTTCTACATTTCTGTCACATGCTTTGCATATGGCTTGTGTAGCATTTTATGTGTTGAATGAAGAGCCTTTCCAAAAGGCACAGAGTTTTTCTAGACAGGAAATAATACTCCGTTTGGTGGGACTCTGACAGATCTGGCTTCAAACCTCTCCTCTCCTCTCCAGAAGGCCTGTTAAAATGTCTGACCTTCCACACATCTCTCAGGGGTGAGTGAGAACCGTGGAGGGACAGCGCTTGGAGCAACTGACCTGCGTGAGGAAGATGCTGTGTATGCATCTGCTCCTATAACATTCAAGTTTTAGTTTGAAAGGAATAAAACTTATGTATGCCTCTCATGTGGTGAACTTTTCTTTTCAAGATAGACTGGTAGAAAAATACACAGACCATGGTGCTATTGCAACTCTTCAAACCTGGGCTGGAGAACTGCTCTGATTCCTAGGTTTGATTTCCGGTACACACACAGAGGCTCACAGCTGTCGTAACTCCATCCTAGGGGCTCTACCACCCTCTTCTGACCTCTAAGAGCAAGAAGCATGAACATGATGCACAGACACAGATCCTGGCAAAACACTCACATTCATAAGATAATGTTTTTGTTTGTTTGTTTTTTGTTTTTTGTTTTTCAAGACAGGGTTTCTCTGTGTAGCCCTGGCTGTCCTGGAACTCACTTTGTAGACCAGCCTGGCCTCAAACTCAGAAATCCGCCTGCCTCTGAGTCCCAAGTGCTGGGATTAAAGGCGTGTGCCACCGCTGCCCAGCAGATAAATATTTTTTAAAATGTGTTTAAAGGCTGGAGATGGCTTAGCAATTAAGAGCACTAGCTGCTCTTTCTGAGGACCTGGGTTCAATTCCCAGCACCCACATAGCAACTCATAACTGTCTATAACTCCAGTTCCAGACTGGAGTCTGGAATCTAACACCCTCATACAGATATACATGCAGGTAAGAACATCAATGTACATACAAAATAAAAACAAATTTTAAAAATGTGTTTAAAGCCCAACAGCCATTTGCTGGCCATACCCTTAAACAAGTAACAGTCTAACTTGACTTTAGTTCCAATTTGAGAAGGGAGAAACTGACATTTATTTATCATTTGTCATTTATTATTTATCATTCAGTTGAGTTATTATTAGTACTTCTGAAATTGCACTGAGATTGTCTTTCTTTTTTATTTTATTTTTGTGTGTGTGTATGAGTGCTCTATCTGCATGTATACCTGCACAGCAGAAGGGGGCGTCGGATCCCATTACTGACAGTTGTGAGCCACCATGTGGTTTCTGGGAATTGAACCCAGAACCTCTCAAAGAGGAGCCAGTGCTCTTAACCACTGAGCCATTTCTCCAGCCCCATCTACTTTCTTTCTTTCTTTTCTTTTCTTTTCTTTTTTTTTTTTTTTTTTTTTTTTTTTTTTTTTGGTTTTTCGAGACAGGGTTTCTCTGTGTTGCCCTGGCTGTCCTGGAACTCACTCTGTAGACCAGGCTGGCCTCGAACTCAGAAATCCGCCTGTCCCTGCCTCCCAAGTGCTGGGATTAAAGGCGTGCGCCGCCACCACCCGGCCCATCTACTTTCTTTTAATGGCCACATTTTCTAGGAAGTTTGGCACATTTGGACTCTAGCATTCAGTGTGAATAGATTTTAGCAGACATTAGACTCCCAAAAGCACAGAGTTGCCAGTACGGTGGATAAGCTCTCAGACATGCTCCTGACCTCACTCCTGATTCAACATGTGGCTTCTTAGCTTTGGGGAATTCGATTTCCCTGGACAACCTCTAATATCATCCTGTTCTTGTTTGGCACTGGGGACTATGAGCGCCCTGCCCTGCCCTGCCTTGCACTGTCCTGCACTGCCCTGCCCTGCCTTGCGCTGTCCTGCACTTCCCTGCCCTGCACTGCCCTGTGCTGTCCTGTGCTGCACTGTGCTGTGTTGTGCTGTACTATGTTGTGCTCCTCAGAGACTAGGGTACAAAGCTCTACCAAGAGTCAAGGTCCAGGTCTGCAGAAGTGGGTCAGTAGGAGACTACAAGCCTAGCAGGCCCTGGGTATAAATCCCCAGGGCCTCAGAAAGCAAAGAGTGAAGGCAGAGCCCTCAACATAGGTCTTTTAAGTGCCTATTTTCTCTCTGAACTAGAAGCCAGGACGTGGAACACCCCAGAAGTGACTGGCTCCCCACCATCCCCAAGAACATTCCACACATCGTCTGCAGCTATTGGAAACCAACTTTATGTCTTTGGGGGAGGAGAGAGAGGTGCCCAGCCTGTGGAGGATGTGAAGTTGCATGTATTTGACGCAAGTATGGGCTGGGGACATAGGGATCATGGGACTGCTTACCTGGGCCACCTCAGCCTCAGTTATCTCTCAAACAGGAAACAGGGTCTTGAGAAAAGATGTTGCATTAAGTAGAATACTTGCCTAGCATGCACCAAACCCTACGCACATTTTAGCCCTAGCACCACACAAACCAAGCACAATGGCAGATGTGTGTGGGATTACAGAATCCCAGCAGTCGAGAAATCAGACCTAGCCTGATACATGAAACCTGTCTTAAAAAAAAAAAAAAAAAAGCAGGCAGATCTCTTTGAATTTGAGGTCAGCCTGGTCTACATAGTTCTAGGCTAGCCCAGGCTATATAATGAGATCCTGTCTCAAAAAGCAATGACAAAAAGATGGTGACTCTGGGTTGGATGCGGCACAGGGTAAAGCATGTACTCAGTATGTACAATGGCCTGGGTGGTTTCCTGTACCTCTCAAAAACAACAACAAAAGGAAGAAAAAACAGCTCTGAAGGAAGGCTTTTCACAGAAGCAGCACACGTGTTTATTTTAACTCTGAGGCTGTTCTTATTTGAAGTGTAAGGGAATATGTTTCACAGTCCAAAGCAAGAAATGGCTTCCTGATAGCCAGACTGTAAAGCAGCATGCTGGGTTATTGGCTTTGCAGTCTGCAGCCCTGGACATATCCAAGTAGAGGTTACACAGCGGGATTAAGGTCTACTGCTGGTAAACTGGGGAGGACGCCAGGGTCACTTCCTTCATGGAGCACCCGTGTCCTGGGAGGTGCTGAAGAGAGAGGCCACCTAGTGTTAATGCATTTACCTTTGTAGACACTCTGACATGGTCTCAGCCGGAGACACATGGAAGTCCTCCATCTCCCCGGCATGGCCATGTGATGGTGGCAGCGGGCACAAAACTCTTCATCCATGGAGGACTGGCAGGGGACAAGTTCTTTGATGATCTCCATTGCATTGATATAGGTAAGTCTGTTAGAGGGCCAGGGGCCTTATGTATTCAGAATGCTTTAAGATGTGATTTGAGAGAATTCTACTTTCCTCTTATGTGTTGGTAACTTGACTGGCTGTTAGAGTTTTTCCTAGATTTCAAGAAGCACGGCCTGAATGATGAGGAATAAAGGGTGGAGAGGTAGCTCAGCTGTGAACTCATTGGCTGTACTTTCCAGGGAGGCCTAGGTTGGATTCCCAACCACCACATGACAGCAACTGCACTTCCAGAGTCTGTTGCCCTTTTCTGCCCTCTACAGGCATCATGTGGTGGAGCACAGACTTTGAGCAGGCAAAATACTGCACACACTAAGTACAAACAGATGTGTAAGTAGGTAGGTAAGTAGACAGGTAGGCAAGCAGACAGACTGACTGACTGACTGACTGAATGATTTGAAGAAGAAGAAGAGAGAAGGAGGGGAAAATATCATTAACAATTGGAGCTGGAGAAATGTCTCAGCACTTAAAACACTTACTGCTCTTGCAGAATACCCAAGTTCGGTTCCCAGCACCCACACTAGACAGCTCAGAGCAGCTCCAGGGAATCCAAAACCTCTGGTCTCAGCTGATATCTGAACACACACACACACACACATAGACACACATATATGCACATAGTTAAAAATAAGAAATTTCAAATAATTTAAAATCTGTATGTGTGGATGGTTTTCCTGCATGTATGTGTACCACAAGTATATAGTACCTGAAGAGGCCAGAAAAAGGTACTGGATTCTCTAGAACCAGAGTTACAGGAGGCTATGAGCTGCCATGTGGGTGCTGGGAATTGAACCTTAAGAAGAGCCGAGCCATCTCTGTAACCTCAAACACATCTTTTTAAAATTGTTTATTTTTCTGAAACAGAGTCATACTATGTGTAGCTCTGACTGGCCTAGAACTTGCTATGTAGACCAAGCTGTTCTTGAACTCACAGAGATCAATGCCTCAGCCTCCTGAGTTCTGGGTCTAAAGCCGTGTGCCACCATACCTAACTATATCTATTTTTAAATGCAGTCATTCCTCAAGACTCAGTGTGTGTTCAGGCACGGTTCCCTCTCAGCACCTGCCCTTTCCATCACAAGTTCCTATACTTTGTGTTCCCAGCTAGAGCTCTGTCTTGGCTCTTGCTCCATGTCCAGTCAAGATAACAGGTGGATGATCGGAATTGCATGTTTGCAGGGCTTCATGGTCAAAAATACAAAAAAAAAGCCCAGGAAAAAGAAAGAGAAAACCAGAAGTTTATCTCCACCTCAGAAGGGCTGGGCTCTCTTCTAAGCCTTTCTGTCTGTTAGCTCCATTGAGGGTGGGACTTCCTCTTTCCTTTGTCTGTATATTTCCCCTCCACCCCCACCCACCCCACCCCTGCACAAGTGCAGTCAGCCAGATAGTGGGTAAGTGCTTATCTGCTCCTGAGTGGATGGATGAATGCATGAGCAAGGTCTGCTTTGCTTCAGACTACAGAGCAAAGGGATGAGAGGCTCAAGGCACAGGAACGCCTATGATGCAGAGTATTCAAGTCCTCTCAAAGCACTGGGTCCTCAGAAGCAGGCTCACTAGCTGGAATTTCTTCATTGACTGCAAGGTTTTCTCTTTGTTCCTTTCTTTGTTCATTCACACACACATACACACACACACACACACACACATACACACATACATATTTCTGAGACAGTGTTTCTCTTTGTAGACCTGGCTGTCCTGGAACTTACTTTATAGACTAAGTTGGCTTTGAACTCATCAATCCACCTGCCTCTGCCTCCTGAATGCTGGGACTAAAGGTGCCCAGCTTTTTGTTTTTTGTTTGTTTGTTTGTTTGTTTGTTTTTGGTTTTTCGAGACAGGGTTTCTTTGTGTAGCCCTGGCTGTCCTGGAACTCACTCTGTAGACCAGGCTGGTCTCGAACTCAGAAATCCACCTGCCTCTGCCTCCCAAGTGCTGGGATTAAAGGTGTGCACCACCACCGCCCGGCTTAAATGTGTAGCCCAGGCTGGCCTCGAACTCGTGATCCTCCTGCCTCTGCCTCCTTCAGCAAATCCTACTGGTGTGCGCCACCACTACCGGCTTGTTTTGTTTTTAAGACAGTGTCTAGCTGTGTAGCCCAACCTCACAATCAGTCCTCTTCCTTCAGACTGCTGAGTTCAGGGACTAGAGACTTATGCTCCCATGCAATTTCAAATAGGATAGGACTTGTTCTTGATGTTTTGAGACAAGGTCTCTCCATGTAGCCCTGGCTGTCCTGGAATTCACTATGTAAACCAAACAGGCTTCAAAGTCACAGAGGTCCCGCTGCCTCTGTGTCTGAGTGCTGCGATTAAAGGTGTACACCATCATGCTTGGCTGATAATTGTTTAAGACTCCACTTTTCTGTGCTGAAGAGTTCCTCGTATTGTTTTATCCCTTCTCTAAATAGTCTTCTAATCTAAAGTCCAGTGGTGTGTAGTACCTCATTTAAGTGCTCCTTTGAAAAGATGCAAAACTAGTGTTGGGAGCATCAGGCGGATCTCTATAAATTCAAGGCCAGCCTGGTCTACAGAACAAGTTCCAGGACAGCCAGAACTATACAGAGAAACCCTGTCTCAAAAAAACCAAAAAACTAAAATAAGACAATGTTGGGAATGAGCACTGAATCAACAAGTCAAGTTGTAGAGGACACAGGTTTGGCAGCCTTAGTAGGCCCAGCTCTGCCCCTTATAAGCTACTCCAGCAAGGCGCCAGCCTTCAGTCATCCTGTGTGCTTATCCATCAGAAGAAAGGCAGTAGGTACACGTGATAGCAATTCAGAGGGCTGAGCAAGACTTTGCAAGTGTCTAGCCTGCACTCACACAGTTGCTGTTGGAGGTACCGAAGAGATGGGTTGGCATCTTCCCGAGGCCCTGGGTTTGATTCCTAGCACCCACATGGCAGCTCACAGCCATTGTAACTTTAGTTCAATGGAATGAAGTACCCTTTTCTGGCCTCCATAGCCACCATGCACAAATGTGGTGCACAGACAAACCTGCAGGCAAAACACGTGTGCATAAAATAAAAGTGAATCTTTCTTTCCTTTTTTTTTTTTTTTTTGTTGTTGTTTTTTTTCAAGACAGGGTTTCTCTATGTAGCCCTGGCTGTCCTGAACTCACCTTGTAGACCAGGATAGCCTCGAACTCACAGAGATCTGCCTCCTTCTGCCTCTAGAGTACTGGGACTAAAGATGTATGCCACTACTGTCTGGCTAAAAAATTGAATCTTTTAAAAAATGTATTTAAAACATACAAGCATATGAACATGTGTACCTGCATATTTGTGTATGTGCATATGCATGCGGGCATGCGCACGCACGCACACACACACACACACATCCCTTTCCTTACCTATCTGGGCAGTTGACAGTGAACAATTAAAGACTACAGTCATTAAAGTTTTCACGTTTCTCAGCATGCTCCAAAGAGCATCAGAATCCCATGAGATGTTTTTTAAAATTGCAGGTCCCTTGCTGCAGATTATAGAATAATTCAAGCCACCCTCTCTCAAAAGCAGTTCTACATAATGAACCTTTCCATTACCTCTTAAGAGATTCCTGTGACCCAGGCATGGTATTGAACATCTTTAATCCCAGAGTTAAACTTAAGGCCAGCCTGCTTTACATATCGCATTCCAGACCAGAGCTGTATCACCCTGTCTCACCACACACACACACACACACACACACTCCCTATGGATGACCCTCAGCAATCATTTTGCAAACTGCAGCAGATAATTTGAATTCCCATTTTAGCTCATGTGCACAACTCTCCCTTGTAACAGGTGACATGAGCTGGCAGAAGCTTGGTCCCACTGGAGCTGCTCCAGTAGGCTGTGCCGCCCATGCCGCCGTGGCTGTGGGACACCATGTGTATATGTTTGGAGGAATGACAGCCACTGGAGCGCTGAACACGATGTACAAGTATCATACAGGTGAGCAAGAGTCACTTCTGGTCAGTTTTCTTTTTTAAACAATTGTGCCCTTTCCTTTCCTTCCTTATTTTATTTTATTTTAAGATTTATTTATTGTATGTATGTGAGTACACTTTCACTTTCTTCAGACACACCAGAAGAGGGCATCAGATCCCATTACAGATGGTTGTGAGCCACCACGTGGTTGCTGGGAATTGAACTTAGGACCTCTTAGCAGTGATGCAGACATTTTCTAGTTTGGTGCCTTCATGTTTAAATCCAGAGGAAGGGCTAGGGAAGTGGCTCCAGTGGTAACAGTGGGTACTGTGTAAACATGAGGACCTGAGTCTGAATCCTCAGCATCTGTATAAAAGCTAGGCATGGATATGTGTGCTTATAATCCCAGCACTGGGGAGCACAGACATGCAGATTGCCGGGGCTCGCTGGCCCATCTGAAACTGCAGCTTCTGGTTCAGTGATCTGTCTCAAAGGAAAATAGGACACATATCAACAGAGGAAGACATCTGTGGCCCTCCTCACTGTACTCTCCTGAAACACACACACACCATATATGCACATGTACTCATATACATGCACACACACACACTAATTAAATCCGAAAGAACGAAAACTAAACTTAAAGATGGCATCATTAGTACACAAGAAGCAAGGGGGTGGTGGTTCATGTTTGAAATCCCAGGCAGGAGGACTTCTGGGAGTTAAAAGCCAGCATGGTCTATATATTAAGTTCCAGGACGGCTTGGGCTACAGAATAAGCTCCTTCCTATCTTAGAACTGGAGAGGTGGCTAAGGGACAGCTACTTGCTGCTCTTGCAGAGGATTGGAGTCCAGTTGCCAGCACTCACATAGCAGCTAACAACTGCCTGAAACTCCAGTTCTTGGGGGTCCAAAGATGACTTCTGGCCTCTCTGGGCACCAGGCATGAAAGTGGTATACAGACCACAGACGTGCAGGCCAAACTAAATACATTTTTTTCAAAACAAACAAACAAACAAACAAATACAAAACAAAACCTGACAGAAAAACAGGGTCTCTCTGTATAGCCAAGCTGGTCTGATAAAGGCAGCCATCCTCCTGCCTGTGCCTCCTGAGTGCTGGGATTTCAGGTGTGCACTGTCATGCCCAACCTGTTTTTCCCTTTATTTCCTCTTTGTGGCTTAACTGATGCAGAACATCACTGAATACCTGTGGAACTGTCTTAACAGGAGCCTTTGCTTTGTCTCCCTTACTCAGAAAAGCAGCACTGGACCATACTTCAGTTTGATACTTCCCTACCCCCTGGACGACTGGACCACTCCATGTGTGTAATCCCATGGCCAGTGACATCTACCTCTGAGAATGAAGAGTCTGTCATTCTAACCCTCCAAGCTGAGAAAGGGGATGCTGCTGAGAAAGCAGAGACCCAGAGTGGAGGGTTGCATGAAGAGAGTCTGGCTACCATGTTTCTCTGTTTTGTGTTCGGTGGGATGAATACAGAAGGGGAGATCTATGGTGATTGTCTTGTGACTGTAGTGGACTAATAAAACCCACATTTTTATTACTTGTTACTTTTTGCAAAAGTGAAAACTCTGCTAAGTTACACTGCCAATTACTTTTTTCACAATATATTCTCTCAACCCAGAGTAGTGGTACATTCTAGGCATAGCAGCACACACCTTTACTCCCTGGCCAGCCTGGTATACATAGTCAGTTCCAGGACAGCCAGAGCTTCATAGTCTTGAAAAGCCAAAAATAAAATCCATATCCACCTTGCACTTAATCAACTTTCATAACTGGACAGCCCAGTGTAAACAATTCCATTGTAAAGCTTTACCAGCAATAAAGTCTGTAGATACCCAGGCTAATACTGGAGTAGACATTTATGAGTTGGAATCTCTTTTTAATATGCATTAGCTAATCTCTAAAAAAAAAGTGCAGGCAAGGGGCTGGAGAGATAGCTCAGCAGTTGAGAGCTCTTGTTCTTACAGAAAACCCAGGTTCAGGTCCCAAAACCCACATGGTAGCTGCCAACTCCCTGTAATTCCAGTTCCAGGGGATCCAGATGCCTGATACTCTGCAGGCAAAGCACTCATACAAATAATCTAAATTTACAAAAAAAAAAGTACAGACAAGAGCAGTGTGTAAGATCCTTTTTTAGTTCGTAAACAAAGCAATTGGGTGTTCACAGAATATGTACCTGGCCTCCCCTAAACCTTGTTCAGACATTGGCACATTACCCATCTTAGAAAGAAAGAAAAGCGTGTGGTAGTGCAGCTATGTATTTTTCCCCCCAAAGGAGTGCTGGCAATCGGGGGACAAAGGATGAAGACTGACTTGTTAATCATCCCTGGACCCAGTGTGAAGCAGTACAAATCAATTTTGACACTTGACTTGGCCCCAGATACTTGTCTGTTAGTGTTTCAGACAAAAATCTGACAGCCTAGGCTGGCCTCAAAGTTGTCATCCTCCTGCCTCAGTGTACTAGGATTACAGAGATGCTATCATGCCCCTCTTCCCTTTAGAAAGGGTAAATGGGAGTAAGACAGATCTTGATACATAACCGTGAACTTGCTATAATCCTCCTGCCTCAGTCGGCCTCCTGAGTGTAGGAATTGATAGCATGAGCCACCAAGCTGAGTTCAAAATGTATCAGATAGATAATGCACAAAAAAATGAAGCATAAGAATTAGACAGGATTTCGAGGCCAGCCTGGTCTACAGAGTGAGTTCCAGGACAGCCAGAGCTATACAGCGAAACCCTGTCTCGAAACCGCCCCCTCCCAAAAAAAAGAATGTAACAAGGTTGTTGTCAGGTCCCCACATCTACCATTCTTAGTAAATTAATCTGACAGCTGGTTGCCCAGTTAAAAAACACCCATCTTTGGCAGTACTAAATTTCATGTTGGCACTAAACAAAACTCATTGTTCAAGACGGTCTCAAAAAATGAACAAGTCAATTAAAACAAAGTATACTTCCATCATTTGGTTCTAACAAAAGATGGCTTTTATACACCTTTATGAACAGCACATCATTCTTAAACTCAAGTCCTTGACCATATTTGGCCTTAGACATTTAAGTCTTGTGAGTAGTAAGTAGTGAGAGCATTCTACTGCCCAACTGAGCCAAGTGTCCAGTCTGCAAGATCATGATAAACCCCAGGGACTGTGCTTACGGCTGGGGAGGACAGGGCTCAGATCTTAAACAACCAAGCTGGCTTCTTGATCTTGGGAAATGCTAACAGCAGAAACATATTGCCTTATCTCCTTCCAAATGTAATGTTAATAGAGTTGCAATGCACACACAAGAAAAATCTTCATTAATCATATGGATTACCTAGATCACTACTTTCCAGAGGGAGCCAATCTAAACTATCAACCAGTCCCTTTGACTATGAACTGACACTTGTAATCTCAGGATTACCATATATACTCTACCATAATACTACTAAGACCATTTTAGAAAAAGGGGTTCTGACCAAATTAGGCTTCAGAGCATGTTTTAGTTCATGAACTATGTCAATGAAACTAGGCCTCCAGCCTGAGCCACTACTCCCAGTAGGTAGTACTGGGTATCAAATCCAGGGCTTCATGCTAGATAAGTGTTCTACCAATTGAGATAAGTAAATCCTCAAGCTGTTAAATATGCTTTTTTTTTTTTTTTTTTTTTGGTGGTGCACGCCTTTAATCCCAGCACTTGGGAGGCAGAGGCAGGAGGATTTCTGAGTTCGAGGCCAGCTTGGTCTACAGAGTGAGTTCCAGGACAGCCAGGGCTATACAGAGAAACCCTGTCTCGAAAAAACAAAAACAAAAAAAACAGCATCTTTTTCTCTACATAGCCCTGGCTCGCTGGGAACTCTATAAACCAGGCTGGCCTTAGAGATCCTCCTGCCTCTGCCTCCCAAATGCTGCCACCATATACTTTCAACTATACATCTTCAAATACAAATTACAAACTAAATACCACCCAGTGATACAGAGTACTTACCATATCAAGAGCCTGTGGCTACAACACAAAATGTATTTCAACTTTTTTCCAGGCCAGAGGATTATTAACACTAGGGCTTCACACTAGTGCTAGGCATTGCCAGAGTATGCATCAGCCTCAGTTCCCTAGACTGGGCTTGGACCTGCCATGCTCCTGCCACAGCCTGGAACATGATCAATTCATTAAGAGATTCCAGGAAGCCCCACAGCACTACTTGTAACAAAAGTCAGAAAGGGCCATGGTGGTGCAGACTTTAATCTCAGTACCCAGGAAGGAGAGACAGGTGGATCTGAGCTCAAGGCCAGTCTAGTCTACAGTCTTGAAGTTAGAGGACAGCCAGAACTACACAGAGACCTTATCTTGAAAAACTAAAAACCCAGAAAGCAATTTTACAAAGGGGAAGTATGATTTCAACCATGTTCAAGAGAACTGGACTTGGGCGCCGTAAAATAGCCCTTGCCTAGGGGAGCAAACAGCAAACATCTTTTATAGCAAACATCTTGCTATAAAGCTAGACAAATTCCCCAGTAAGTGGTACCCCACAGTATCACTAGCCCCCCTTCCCTGCCCACATAAGAAAGACACACCTGAGAATCCAGTCTTAAATTTTAGTTATCTAAAATAAAAGATGGATATAATTACAAGCTTTTCACAAAAATTAGACCAGTGTAAATAACAAACATTTATTGGTGTCACTTATGGTAGAAAAAAGTTCCTACACCACATGTGCATGACCCAATTGTTAAATAGAACATATCCAAGGTGAACACACACCCTGACCCAGCTTTTCTTCAATTTTTAAAATAGCCAATTCCTCCTCTCCCTGACCCCAAGACATGTGAGCAACTGCTAATGAAAAGCAGTAAACAGCCACTTGGGCTATAGCATTTTCAACTCCACTCTGAGGTGAAGATTCCAATTACATTCGAGACTTAAGTTCTCTCAATTTTCTCCCAACGAAAGTTCCTGAGTCCAGTATTTACAATTATTACAGCTCTAGCAGATCAGTGCACCTACAACTCATCTTTTTCTGATGTATCCTCTTCACCAGTTGGGGGAGGGCCTCCACTTCCATAGAGTTTGCTGATAATTGGCTGAACAATTTCTTCTAGTTCCTTCTTTTTAGCTTTAAAGTCTTCAATGTCCGCATCTTGGTGGCTTTCCAGCCATTCAATCTTTTCCTCTACAGCTTTTTCCATGGTTTCTTTATCTTCAGAAGAAAGTTTACCTCCCAGCTTTTCTTTATCTCCAATCTGGTTCTTGAGAGAGTAAGCATAGCTTTCCAATTCATTCCTGGTGTCAATGCGCTCTTTGAGCTTTTTGTCTTCCTCAGCAAACTTCTCAGCATCATTAACCATCCTTTCAATTTCTTCAGGTGTCAGGCGGTTTTGGTCATTGGTAATTGTGATTTTGTTTTTGTTTCCTGTACCTTTGTCTTCAGCTGTCACTCGAAGAATACCATTAACATCTATCTCAAAGGTGACTTCAATCTGGGGTACTCCCCGGGGAGCAGGAGGAATTCCAGTAAGATCAAATGTACCAAGAAGATGATTGTCTTTTGTTAGGGGTCGTTCACCTAGAGTAAGAACACAAGAAAAACTTGTTATTGACAACCCTTAGGGAACCGGGATCTCTACATTGCAACTTGCTAGAATTTGTTGGGGAGCAAGAACCATTTACTGAGGTAAAGTAACTCAGTATTGGACCAAGAGCAGCAACTCACTGGGTGGTACTGCTCTTAACTGAATTTCAGCTCTTAAAAACATTGTAAGCCCCTCTGTCCTTGTATTCCAAAAGCTAGTGGACGTGAATGCTAAGTACTGAATCTAAAGTTCAACACTGGTCCAACTAATCACCTCTTCATTTGAATTACAAAAGATACTTCTTTCCCTGGGGAGTATAATCATACTGTTAAACCCAAAGTCACATTATTTCAAAACATGCCATGTTTGTGAATGTAAGTAATTACCTTCATAGACCTTGATTGTTACAGTTGGCTGATTATCCGAAGCTGTGGAGAAGATCTGAGACTTCTTGGTGGGTACCACAGTGTTCCTCGGAATCAGTTTTGTCATGACACCTCCCACAGTTTCAATACCAAGTGTAAGGGGACACACATCAAGCAGTACCAGGTCACCTGTAAAAGAAAATTAATCAGGTTTGGTTAGTCCTGTGAGCACTACCAAGCAATCTCCCAATGAACGCTGCCATCTTCCCCACTGTCATTTGCTGAGGCTCTAACCACAAACACTTTAGGCTGCTGAAATGAATTAGCAGCTGCTAATGAACTTAACTAAGCCTGACCTAAGTTGTCATCACTGTACCTTTCTTCCCTGTTACTCTTAACCCTACAGCTTCCCAAAGCAACAGTCAAGCTTCTCAAACATGTAAAGGTGCAGTGACAACAACCTACCTGTATCTTGATCACCAGAGAGGACACCAGCCTGGACAGCGGCACCATATGCTACAGCCTCATCTGGGTTTATGCCACGGGATGGCTCCTTGCCATTGAAGAACTCTTTCACCAATTGCTGAATCTTTGGAATTCGAGTAGATCCACCAACCAGAACAATTTCATCAATATCAGACTTCTTCAGATCAGAATCTTCCAACACTTTCTGGACAGGTTTCATGGTAGAGCGGAACAGGTCCTAGCAAAAAAAAAAAAAAAGAAGAAAAGAAAGGCATGGTTACTGTGGTGCTGACTACCCAGACATAGTTTAGTTATCCTGCATTCAGGTATCCCAAATTTACCCACTAAGTAGATCCCATTAGCACTGTCAAGGAACACACCATGTTCAGCTCTTCAAATTTCGCCCGAGTAAGGGTCTCTGAGAAGTCTTCTCCTTCGAAGAAGGACTCAATCTCAATTCTTGCTTGATGCTGAGAAGACAAGGCTCTCTTAGCCTTTTCTACCTCACGCCGGAGTTTCTGCACAGCTCTGTTGTCTTTTCTAACATCTTTACCAGTTTTCTTTTTGTACAGCTTGATGAAGTGCTCCATGACCCGCTGATCAAAGTCTTCCCCACCCAGATGAGTATCTCCATTAGTGGCCACCACTTCAAAGACACCATTGTCAATGGTGAGAAGAGACACATCGAAGGTTCCGCCACCCAGGTCAAACACAAGGATGTTCTTCTCTCCTTCTCTCTTATCCAGGCCATAAGCAATAGCAGCTGCTGTACTGTGTGTATGAAGAGGAAAGCTTGGTCAGGTTCACATTCCCCCTACTTGGCAAATATGCTGGACCTCTGAGTCCTATA